TTATTCAATCCAGTTTCCATCGTCCATCTAGAAAGCCGTTCACACAATTTTTCAGTTTCATAGCATGATGCTCTAAAACAATGAGCGGAAAATACCTGCATGGCATGTCTGTGAAGCTGTATGTTGTGGAGGGGAACTAGACCTTCTTTATATTGAGAGAAAACCCTAACGGAGCCATTGGCAACCATATTGAAAAGCGACTCAAGAGAGTCATCTTCGATCAAACTTTGAGCAGCAGAAGGATTGCTTGCTAATGCTTTCATGATATGGACAACACTACCCTCCACCTACAAGAATGAAGGGACACAAAGTATTTATTAAACTGATTAAGCATTTGTGTAGTATAAATTTGGTTTTCAATATCCAGCTCAAAACAATGTCTAAAGACATATATAGTATAATTAAGGATTGGAATAAAACTATTGAAACAGAACCTCAAGTCGTCTAGTATGTAGAACTCTGTATCCAGCATCTTTTTCTGCTGATAGTTCCAGATCAGCAGTTATTTTACTTTTGCTTAATTCATCATATGCTAGAAGTGCACTGAGAACATGTATTAGACAACAGAATATCCCAGAATCCAGTAGTGATTGTTTGTCGATAGGCTGAAAAAAAAACAGATGTTGCGTTTAGGAGGCAACACAATATTTTAAGGCATAAACCCATAAAAGAGCATCATGGACGAGAAACAGAGCATTGCAAGCTTTGATGGAGTGTGTAAACTGGAAGACAGGAAAAAGTCGAAAAGGTACCCCAGATACAAGTACTTCAACAGCTATTAAGAGGTTTGCACCAGGGCTAAATCCCTCCTGTGGGAAGAAATCATGGTTTAAAAATAGAGAAGAGAGTGTGACAAGTCAAGATGCACAATATATAGGAAAAAAAAAGGCAAACCTTGGTGACATCTGAAAAGAACCTTAATACTTTCTCTACATCCAGTGACCTTGTCTTGCTACCAATCTTCAACTTTTCAATATCTGTCACAAATGCTCTCCCAATGACAAAAGAGAATATATGTGTTTCTACTAACCTGCAATTAAACTTAATTTCTCAATATTGGTGATTATACGATATCTGACCTACAAGCATAAGATAAAAGGTACGGAAGACGACTCGGTATACCGGGGAAGAACATACAGTTTGAGACGTGTATAGAAATCCAAGTCATGTGAAGACTGGGAGACACTCGGAAACTACAAAAGTATATCCAACCAAAAAGGGAAAAGGAATTAGAAACGACTTACATAGTAACTAACTGATCTACATTAGCGTGCCGCTTCACTAATCTACAAAATGTATCCACGGTCAGATTCAAGGAGGCCTCCTTCTCCTGCATGACATATGGACGATTAGAACTCATAAATTGCAAGCCTTTTGTAAGCCCATCCAGTATAGAAAATACAAGAAGAGATAAGTTAAGACATTCTGCGAAAGTGACTAATGTGTATACAAGAGTATGGATTATCAAAGTACGAACCTTTTCAGAGCTTGATGAACGGAATTCTTCCCATAATCTCTTGAAGTCCAGTTCCAACTCATGGTTATCTCTGATTTTCGAGAGGAGTAAAGAGAGGATTAACAATTGTTTTTACACCAAGAGAGATCAGCCAACAAAATTACAGTTCCAATTCAAAAGTGTAGCAGCTGACAGCTTCTGCGACTATATTTGCGTTTCAATAAAAACGAGTTTACATGAAAGCAGCAGCAGCCTTTGATTCTCATTTATCAATAAATCTTCAAAAACAACCTATCACAAATATCTAGCACCACAAATGTTGGAATAGAGGAATTTAAAAGAGACTTGGTTGATGTCGATCACTTATAAAGCAAAGCAAAAGAGAAACAGTATAAACTCTGGTCCCCAAACAAACAGAAAAGCAAAGTCAGGAAACTATAAGTAGCAACAATGAAGCAACATCGGAAAACCACAAGCCAGATCAAGCAAAAGGAGAAGACAAAAGAAGAGTACCTCGAGGGAGATGAGCTGAAGTCGTATTGAGAAGACGAGGTGTAAGTAAAAGAAGGAGAAGAGGAAGAAGACGGCGGAGCAGTTAGGTCAACGGCGAAGGGGTCGGCGTCAGAGGATTGAGCTAATCCAACCTTCTCCTTGATGTCCTTAAGCAATGTTGCCCATTTCATCGTTGTCCTAGTCGATCCCAGAAACTTTCATCCGACGACGACCTCACCAGACCAGACCCTGACTCGGTCTCGAAACACGACCCACCCCAGATCCGAGTCGTCGATCAGGAAAAAACAACCCGAAAAATGCGATCAAGCCAAAACTCTCATCCTTCACCAGAAGAAGAGAAGGAAAAGCAAAAACAATCCTAAAAACGAGGAATTCGAATTAAAGAAACAAAGAAAGAAGAGCCCAAACAAACAAACAAAAGCTCTATTCGAAGATGAAATTGAGCTGATACAATGTATCAAATTAGGGTTTCGAAGCAAGAAGAAAGATCTAAGATCCAAAATTTTCAAATCCTGAACTTTTTTTTAACCCCTACCCCCTCCACAAACACTTCAAAAATCCCTTTTTTCCTCCACGAGAATGAACAAAAATAAAAACAATTTTGAACAACAAAAATGAGCTTAGCCAAAAAAACGCGATTTTGTTTTTTTTCTTCTCTTAATTAAATTTAAAATTAAGAGATTTTAATATAAAATTAAAAAAATCACCCTTCTCTCTCTCTTTTTCTTTTGTGAATGTGTTCTTTGAGTTGACGGCGTCTCTCTCTCCGTCCGCGCCTTGTTTCTCGCTCAAGTCGTCGTCTCTTTTGTTCCTCCCTCCTCATTATTTTCCAGTTTTTTATTACTTTATTAGCCCTCGTATTTTTTCATTTATATTATTTTACACCCACTAAAATATTTCATGCCACTATTTGACCCCCAAAATAGTCTTGCATTTGCAACTACACCAACTAAATATTGTGGACCAAACAAATGGCGCATGTAGTAGTAGACCAATGTGAGCCAAGGTTATCCAAAAATTATAAACTACGGACACTTGAATACCATTGACATTTCATTCGTGAAAGTAACAAAGGTTGACTCGTTCTTTTCTATCATTATTTTTAAGAATTGTAGTACAAATGGTCAAAATATAGATGTTTAGAGATAGATAGATACACACAAACTAGGATCTTCTACCCCAACAAAATAAAAAAAGAATATACATAACATAAATCTTTAAGATTGAAAGAAATTTAAAAGCAGGGACATCAAGCAGAAAATTAAAAAATAAACCGTAAAAATGGATATGGATGAAAAAAAAACTACAACAATAAGAACTAAATCATAATTACTAGAAAAAAAGGAGGACCAAAGAGAGAGGTCAAAGACCAAAGATATTAAGATACAAATACTAGTTTCTTTCTAGGTTCACATCTACTGACTAATAAAGCAATCGGAAGCAGAGCCCACGGAACGAGAATGCCACTTGTTCGTGTAGGCTTGCGCTGTGGCGATTGCGAGACCCAGACGTGATCCCCTCTTTGTATTTTCCTTTATTTAAACACTACTCTACACATTTTGGGTCAAATTGATACAAACCTGTAAATCCAATGTAAAAGAACGTATAAAGACATTTAGACATGTTTTCATATTTCATGTCAATATTACAAGAAAACCAACGGAAATTTGTTGTTAGGTCGTGGAGAACAATGTTTTGAATAGACAACTCCACCTAACTTGGAAATTTTCAAATTCTCTATTCAAAAAAAAAAAAGTATTTGATCTAAAGTTTCAGCTACGATATTAATTTAATTAAATTATATAAATGAAAAGTAGGATACTGTACATATATAGCGTATGACATCGAGAGCAAATTGTGGGTTTAGATATTAAAAAACATAATAATGTTGTAGCTAGAAGTCGCGTATATATATTAAACAAACAATAAGTATTATTAGCAGTAGGAGTAGTAGTGGTGGTAGATAACTAAATATATTGCAGTAGTAGTAGTAGTCATCAAACAAAAGGAGAAAATTTGGTGAAAAATGAAACCATTTATTTGCAGAAAATCAAACATGTATAGAACTAGGTCTAAATTACGTAAAGATCGATGATCTGATCTCTATTTTTCATTTTGCGTCAAAAAACAATCTTCCAACAATAATTAATATATATATATATATATATTTTGTTTTGTTTGTGTGACTGACGGATATTATGGTCTGAAGATTAAAATTTGATTACCTCACTGATGTAAAAGGTATTAACGGTCATATTATCCTTATCCCACAGGTCCTTAGAACAGTAGCAACCAGCAAGGGACAAGAACAACACCGCCGGATAGACAAGTGAGGTAATGCCTGAGGAAAAAAAAGAGATTCTCAAATCTAATAGCGCATCATCTATTGGTGGCGCGGGTAATACTAAATAGAACCCAATCAGAGCGCCTATAATGAACGTATACACATCTCTCAATCGAAGTCGCATTAGGAGGAAGCTTTTGTACAATGTCTCTTATCAAATGGTGAAATTGAAAGAGATTGCGTTGGATTTGATGGGCTTAGACCCCAGTTACTAGCCCAGCAAACATCCATAATTCATAGCATGTTTTTCAATTAAGCACAAAAAAAAAAAGAAAAAACTTGTTCGGCCAGCAAAAAGTCAATAATTTAGTCCAATTTGTTTTCACCCTGCGGATGGGCCGAAACACCTCCAAGCCCACTAAACCGAACAATTAATTATATTTATCAGGTGAATAAATTAAGAGATTTTTTATGCATCACTACGAATAGCAAAATATTTGAGGGATATACAAGAAAGTGGAAGGATGATGCTTACATAAGATCTTTTCTTAAGAAAAATGGGGTGTAAGATCCCCCAATAATGATGATGCTTATAAAGTTTTACACTTTGACTTTGAGGATGCTTCTTCTGGTTCCACAATGATGTACAAGCAAAGTGGAAGGAAATAAAGATGGATTCTACTGATGGATGATGAATGATGAATGATGAATGATGATCGAACAAAATCATCATAAACGCGTCAACCATTATTGCCAAAGTTCTTTTTTTTTTTGGTTTATACTAGATACGTAGTACGTACGGAGGATAAATCATAATTTTGTTCTTGTGGGTAAACCAAGAAGTGAAAAGCGCTACACATACCGAAAGGACCTTTGGAACCGTCTAGAGACTTTTTATTAGAGCAGCATTATTCACACGGTTAATAACGTCTCATCTTCGCTATGCCACGTGTCGAAACCTGGTGCCTTCAAGAACGTTCTCCTTTACTCTTCTCTTAACTGCTTTTTATAACAAGATCCTAATTTTTTCTCCAACCCTCCAAATCTCAAATTTGCTACTGTAAAATCTTTACCCGATCAAACCAAACAAAACAAACACAACTTTCTCCGCCGGAGAAAAAATATTGTAAATTCGTCGGTCGTCTCCGTCTCCAGTTCGTTCGTATAGTACCTTTGAGGATTCGAATATTCCCGCGTGTTTTTCCCCATTCCTTTGATCAGAATCCATTAATTGTTTCCCTCTACAGTTTCCTAGAATGTATAAGTGGAATCTTCCGTACCGGAAAGATGACGTGGAGACCGGCGCTGGTGGCGGTGAGAGCACTCTGTATCCGACGATGCTCGAGAGCCCCCAACTCCGATGGGGTTTCATCCGTAAGGTATATTCCATAATCGCTTTCCAGCTTTTAGCAACCATCGCCGTCGCCGCCACCGTTGTCTTCGTCCGTCCTATTGCCGTCTTTTTCGCAACCACTACTGCCGGTCTTGTTCTCTGGATTGTCCTTATCATCACGCCTCTTTTAGGTAACGTCCAATGAAACAAAACAAAAAAAAACACTATAAAATTCAATCCGATGGGTTATGTTTTTCTATTTTAGGGTTTTGGTTTAATATGTTTTTTTTCTGTGTTATATTGTAGTGATGTGCCCTCTGTACTATTACCACCAGAAACATCCGGTGAATTACTTGCTTCTAGGGATTTTCACGGTGGCTTTGGCTTTCGCTGTGGGGTTAACGTGTGCTTTCACCAGTGGTAAGACTTTCCTTGTGACACACTCCTTACTCTTTTCTTGTCTTTCAAGGGACGTATCAGTTGCTTGAAACCACACGCTTTAAGATTTAGTTTAGATTAGCCTGTAAGATCCTCTCTCCTATCACATTTGAGCTGGTTTTGATGACTTTCCTGATCATACTCAATAATTGGTTTGATGATACCTTAATTAATGTTTCCATAGAAATCACTCATTTGTCTTTATAACGACAACATCTCGGATAATCCATTTCCTTGGTAATACTAAGCCTATAGTTGTGGGACTATAACATATTATTATATATAGTTTGAAATTAATCATTAGATTTTTGGAACTTTGTTGCTGGAACAGGAAAAGTGATTCTTGAGGCAGCGATATTAACGACAGTAGTGGTGCTTTCCTTAACATTCTACACCTTCTGGGCGGCGAAGAAAGGATATGATTTCAATTTCCTCGGTCCATTCTTATTTGGTGCTCTCATTGTTCTCATGGTCTTTGCCCTTATTCAGGTAAGTTTTGTCCCTTACAATTGCTACTTTTGGTTTTAACATTCGTAATGCAAGATGATCGTGTGGGTTTTGGGTTATGTATTGTTTTTTGTTTTTTTTTCAGATATTCTTCCCGTTGGGTCGGATCTCAGTGATGATCTATGGTTGTTTGGCTGCGATAATATTCTGTGGGTACATAGTTTATGATACAGACAACCTCATCAAACGTTACAGTTACGATGAGTACATCTGGGCAGCAGTTTCGCTCTACTTGGATATAATCAACCTCTTCTTGGCTCTCCTTACCATTTTCAGAGCTGCCGAATGAAGCGTATTTATTCCTTGTTTTAAGTATGGATGTTATTATCATGTGCTTTTTCAAATCTTTGATATTCTCATGTACACAGTATAACGTGGCAATGTAACCTGTTTTAGTAACTATGAGTAGTATTGACTTGAAGACCAGAATTATGTTGTTTCACCACACTACAGCTATGTGTCTGCATCTGAAACGCTGACGCAGAACAAACTTGGAACTTTGACTTCTCTTCTTATCTTCCGAACTACAGGAAGACCATTAACCATTTCCAACATACAAATTTCTTTTACACTCTACCAAAACGCAAAAAGAGATATTAGCAAAAGTGTTTCTCTTTCCATATCAAACTTCAATTCGATTCCATTCACATGAATATTATTTAGCTTACTTGCAACAACAGTTCTAATAATCACGGAGATGGAGGCGGCTGCACACACCCACAAAATGCAAACCGTTTTTTCATTCTCTTTCTTCGCTCACCTCTCACTCCACTATAGATATAATCCCGAAGAAGAATCCTCGTTTTGCTATCCGCTATCTTTGCTTTTGCTCGATCCTCTCTATCTCCTTCCAATTTCAGTAACAGACACTGTAATCTCTGTATCTCCAGCTGTAACCTACCAATCTTCTCTGATCCTCTTCTCGCCTGTTCTGATATCCTCCTCCTTCTGCTACTCTCATTCTCATCAAGATCCATTGATGATTTACTTCCATCTGATCTCTCAAATCCGTTTTGGACTTTCGTCACCAGCTTCCTGTTGACACTTAAAAGTTTCTCTAATGCTTCTTCAGCATCATTGATCTGTCCCTTTATTGTTTCATACTCGTTTTCTTTTCCTTTCTCGCCTTTCTCCTCTGTCTCCACTTTGCTTTTCAAATCTTCAACGGCAACATGAAGATTTGCGAGCTTCTGTAAATCTGAACCAAGTCTCTCGAGAACTTTCCTCTTGTTTGCTTCTTTGTTTGGATCCGTAAATCTATCAGAGACCTCTCGTTTGTCCACAACCAATGACTCTTCAGACAACGATTTGCCTTTCTGAGGATTTTGTTGCTTTACCTCTAAACTGTGCTCATCTTCTATCTTCAAAATGTCTCTCTTACTTATCCCATATGATGAGCAATCAGAAACCTGATCAAGAACGATATCTTTTGTGATCATCTCGCTTTCCTCAAAATCTATTTCGTGGTTCTGTTTCCGTAGGCTTCCATTTCTCCTTCTGCTTCTTCGGGCAGAAGAAGACTTTAGTTCTTCCATTGCAAGCTTTTTGGTTACCGACTCCTCAATAGCTTTGATTCTCATTCGCATTTCTTGCAACTCTAAGAATTTATCGTTGTTATCCACTGTTGAAGCAGTGTCCTGGTAAGAGATACCCAAAATAGATTGGTTACTCCCCGGCAAGAAAAAGTTGAAATAAACAAAGCAAGATGCAACATCTGTTCAACTGAAGATTACTTAGACCAGTGTAAAGCTATGTAAAGCTTCATTAAGGTCACCTAACAAGTATCTAAAGCTTCATTAAGTATTAGAAACACAGTTGTGCTAAGATAACTTACGGTGGCTGGTTCATTCTCGAATTCGTGAGGCATGGCATGTTTTTCCAGAGATTCTATGCTTTCCTTCAACAGGAATATAGCTTGGGCGTATTTGCACATAATATCATTTTGTTCTTTGTTCGCATCCTCTAACTTGTTCACTCTTCCTTTAAGCTGGTCAATGTCCATGTCTTTTAACGTGCTTCTGCTTTCAAGCTTCGCACAGGCTTCAGCCAGCTCATGGGTCAACCCTTCAAACAATGTTTCATGAACAGCTGAAATCTGCAAATCTCCAAACAATGTTGCAGATTGAGACTCCCATTTTTCAATCTCATTCCTTTCTGTAAAAAGCTCCTGGTTTAGCTTTTCCTTCTCCACTTTGATTTCTTCGAGTTCCATGAATAAATTCATCAAGTCAGCTTCCAATTTCAGATTAGCTTCGTTGGAATGACTATTCTTCTTCACCTGCTCATCGTAATCTCCACGAAGTTTTAAGACCTGCATATCCTTTTCTTCCTCTACTGCTTTAGCTTCCTTGTATCTACATTCTAGACCCTCCACTGCCTTAGATAATTCAGATTTTTCGTTTTGCACGATGGATATCATCAGCATTGCTTCTAGAAGCTCGTTCTCCTTTTGACTCAACTGATTCTTCACACTAGCAATTTCATGTTCCAACTGATCATTGGCTGATCTGACAGAGAGCAGTTCAGCATCCGATCTCTCTAGCAAACCTTCAAGCTGCAAATTCTCAATTTCTGCAGATTTTAACTTATCACCAACCTCCATTACCTCTTCCTTGAGCTTATGCTTAACAAAACTGAGTCTGTCCAGATCCTCGTTTAGTCTCACCGCTCCTGCAAGTTTTTCCAAAACGACATCCTCCAAAACAACAATGAGATTGCTTTGATACATAGTTTCAGAAAGAAGCAAAGAGATGTCCTCTTCTAGTTTATGTTTCTCCTCCTCCAACCTCAATGTTAAATTTTTCAAGTCCCTGTTCTCGTCTAGAGTCTTGTAATTCTCTCCCTGCAAAATTGTGTAGTCATCTCGAAATTGCAACAATTGCCTGTGCAAGTCCTTAATTTCCACCTTCAGGACTTCTTCTCTGTCGAATCCTTGATTAACTTTTGTGCTCAATTCTCTGTTCGTAAAGATAAGTTTCTGCCCCTCATCCCGCGAAAACGAGAGCTGCTGACAATGAGACTTAAGTTCTTCCTCAAGAATTTTCTTCTCTGTTTCAATACCGGCAGCTTCTGATTTAAGTTGCCGAAGAAATTCAACAAGGACAAGGTTCTCAACGGCTGAGTGCTGGTTTTCATCCCGAAGCTTCAAAAGCATAGTTTGCATGTCATCAAGTCTTTCCAAAATTTCATGCATATTTTTCTGGTCTCGCGAGTTCTCGTCACCGGAATCTATACCTGGAATTATTTCAAGTTTCATCAATACCTGGTAGATTCCCGTTCTCAGTAATTTAATGCAGTTAATCGAGGAGTCAATCTGCACTTGTTTCCCAATATTTTCCTCCTCTAATTCAGAGACTAGCTTCTCTAACAGATTAGAAGCCTTTTTGATATTCTGATTTTCAGCAATCAGAGAGGAACTCTTCTCAAGCCACTCCTCCAAACATTTATGCAGAACGATAATCTCAATGTGAGCATCATGAGTTCGATCCAGCTCCACTTGATATTCTCTCTCCCGGCATTGATTTTCATCTTGAAGGTGACGAATCTCTGATTCCATGCCCTTCATCCGACTCTCGGAGAACTCCACAAAATTAGTATACTCACGGTCTTTGCCATCTAAAGACACTCCTAAATCTTCAATTTTCTGAAGGGTAGATTCCCTCTCGGTCACTAATTCCAGAACTTTCACTTTTAACTCTGCATGTACTTTCTCCAGATCTTCAATTCTTTTTCTCATAATATCCATTTCAGAGAGTAAGCTTTCTCTTTCACTAATTAAACTGGACTTGTCGTCATTCAGCAGGTGGCATGAGTCTTCCAGGCTTTTCAATTTTGACTTGAGTTCTTCAAGTTCTTCATTGGCATTAGAGAGAGAATTCTCCAGTAACCTGTTTTCCTCAGAGAGTTTCTTGCTGTTTTCTGTAGCACTCTGCAGACGGGTAATCAACATGTCCTTCTCAGAATGAAGGCCTGATTTCTCTTCTGCAAGTGACATACAAACTTCCTCCAAAGTCTTTAGCTTTCCTCTAACTGTTTCCAGCTCCGAATTCAAATCTGAAATGGAGTTCTCCAGAAGAAAGTTTTTCTGAATAAGTTTTTCCATCATTTCTAACTTCTCAAGCAAGGCCGTCTTTTCGGTACTTTCTTTTTCATTAAATTCTTTTAGCTTTGAGTTCTCCTCCTGCAACTCCTTGACAGAAGACACAAAGCCCTCTGGATGTAAACCAACCAGCTCCACCTGTTCTACAATGGACTGGTGTTTCGACCCTATCTGACTTAATTCTTCTTTAAGACAGTATATTTCTTGCTGTAAAGCATTTCTCTGGTCCACTCTCAGTTCAACTTCTGTTTCAAGTTTCTGTATTGTCTCCCGTAACCTTGAGACCTCTTCATGCAAACTTTTAATTGATGCAGCCGAGGAAATATTAAGCTCACTGAGACTTTTGTTCTCGTCTATGGCTCCCTGCACTTCCTCCTTTAAACAATTGTTACGGGCCTCCATATCTTTCAGAATTTGAGACCTGTTTTGCAGTTCCAATGCCAAAGTGCTTAGCTCCTCCTGAGACTGAGAGTGCAATTGTTGCAGGGTTTGAAAGGCAGTCTCAGCTTCCATGAAACGCAAGTGTTCTTCTTGTACACAAGTCCACAATCTTCCCATCTCTTTCTGTTTCTCCGTGAGCTCATGACTTTGACTACCCAGTTTCTCCAATAGACCATCCAGCTCAGAATGCAGATTTTGATTTGATCTCTCAAGCACCACACATTTTTCCTCTGCAAATTTTAACTTAGCAACTCCATCCTCTATTTCACGGCTAAGCCTTTGAGTTTCTTCTTGAGCATGAAACAGCTTAAGCTTTAAATCTGCAATTGTGTCCAGACACTGTTGGTATTGGAGTTCGTAAGCTTCGTTTTCTTCAATTAATTTGGAAATCTTTTGCTTCAGGCTTTCAACTTCACCATCAGCATTTTCTACCCGCTGATTGGCTAAACTTGCATCTTCCTCAGCCTTGTGCAACCTCTCTTCCAGGTTAGATATGGTTTCCAAGCATTGTTGATATTGAACAAGAGCAGCTTCCTTGTCAGTTTCGGATCTAACAAGGCTATGCTTCAATGCTAGAGTTTCAGTTTCGGCTCTGCTGGCTCGCTCATCTACTTCTCCAGCCTCCTTCTGCGCTAGAGAAATGCGATCCTCCAAATCAGCTATGTTTTGCAGACATTGCTGATACTGAAGAAGGGTGGTCCCCTTTTCAACCTCTACTTTGCTGAGAGATTCTTTGAGCGTTTCAACCTCAGTTTCGGCTCTAGTGGCTCGTTCAATAAGCCCCCTAGAGTCCTCTTGTGCACGAGATACCTCAGACTCCAAATTAGACAGTCTCTCCAAATTCTGATCAAACTGGGCTAAGCTAGCTTCCTTTTCAGCCTGAACTTTAGAAAGAGCATCTTTTAAAGCAACGATTTCAGCCTCAGCTTTGCTAGCGCGTTCAGATTCTGAAGGAACCTTAGCATTTCTTTCTTTTCCATCAACGTCACTGAAATTCAGTCCTTTCCTTGCCTTTCCAGTTTTCAAACCTTTCCCGTTACTCACAGACTGAGGCTCTTCCATGAAGGCTATATTACGCTTTACGGTACTCAAATGAGAGAAAGAATTCCCCAAAACACCTTTTCGTAAATCGTCGGGGTAAACCGGAGCTCGGATAGGTGGATAATTCTCAGGTGTTTGTGGATCAAACTCATCAATGGAAGAATCAAGAGGAGAGTCCTCACCAAACATCATGGGATCTTGGTTTGGGAATGCTTCAGCCATAGTCTGCTGAGCATGACGAATAACACCGGTAGCATGATCGTATCTTTCAGCTAAAGCACGATACGCTCTATAAAACTCCTCGACCAATTTCATAAGTTCAGGCCGCTTTTTGTAATACATTTCTGCTCGCCTAGCGAAGGAGTCTGCATCTTCTTCAATAACCTTAATCATTTGCTTGACTTTACTATCCATATCTATGAACAAAAATAGAAACATGTAAGTAAATCGCACAAAGAAATTAGGTGGTTTCTACATGATGATGAAAATGATATTTTCCCTAAGGAAATAAAAGGCATAACAAACCTGTAAGATTCTCCTGAAGCCATTTCGAGTTCTTGGGGCTAATGTGACTATCCCACCACCAAGAATAGCGTTTGGAGTTACTATTCACAACAGCAGTCATTTTTCCCAGCAAAACAATTTACACACCACCACCACCAAAATGCCAAGTACACCAAATTTCTCCGTGAAAAATTCTAAAATTGAGAAGAAGAAGAAGAAGAAGAAAAAGAAGAAGCAAGGGTTAGTTAAGCTATCACAAACAAGGACCAAGTTGATCAATCATAAATAAAGACAAATACAGAAGAAAACAATAGAAAGGAAATACCAAGTCAAATGAAGGCCAAAATCGAGAAATCAATCGGTGGTAGTGACCTGTTCATAAACATTCCAACCAAAATTCGTTACTGATGGAAATTTTCGGATCAGCAGAAAAAGACGATACTTTTATGCTCTCTAGCTAGACACGAGAAAAAAATCAATTCGTCTGAGGAAAATAAGACGAGCACACCCAGGATCCTATAGCTAGGGAAGATAGCAAAGTGAAACCACATGATCTTTACAAGCCGATACTGAAATTAATCTACCAAGTGAATCCAACAGTCCAAAAGCAAAGACTGGTGAGGCTTACCGGAAATAAAAAAGGATAATACTAAAATAGTAGAGAAATCGTGGGATCAGCTTCCGCTTTCACTTCTTCTACGTCTTCTCATCTCATCTTGTTCCTCTAGATCTCTCTCTCCAAGAAAGGTGTTTCAGCTCTCTGTCTGATTCCTACTTTTTTACGTTTTGAAGAAGGAAATTGTTTTAGGTAGGGTGGACTTATTAGAGAGAGAGAGAGAGAGAAGCGTCGAAATGACGATATCACCCTCCAGAACAGTCTTCAAAAATGTTGTTTGATTCGTTATTTTTAGTGCACTGTTGCGTCCTTCCTTGGGATCGCCTTCGCTGCCACCAAGGATCTCTGCAATTTATTAATTTTTTTTTATAAAAAAAAGCTTGTAATGCGACTCTCATGTCTAAAAAAAAAATTGATTTAATCCATGTGTTGTATGAATAATAGAAAATCTTGACATCTTGTGTGATTTTAGATTTTAGTATTTAATTTCTTTATTTGTCCCCCACCCCCATGCCAATGAAAAAAATACGAGAATTCGATCTGATATAATATTTTTTTATATATCAATACTGCAATTTATCTATATTTAAAAATTTCTGTATGAATGCATTTTCTTCATGTTAGAAAGATGGATTATATTTGAAATGAGTTTACTTAATTAATTCCAATTAAGAATATATTTTTTTCATAAAGACAGTATTAAACAAGGAATAATGAATGATAAGGGGAGGCTGCCAAGAGATAAGTGACAAAAAGACAGGGATGTCTTGGACGGTGAGGTCTCGGTCCACTTTCGTCACCCTTTTGTGTTTTTATTTCTCCACGTTGGATTTTAGAGATTCCACCTCCTATTGCCATCTTTGCGTGTCCAACTTTTCTCAATCATTCTAGAAGTTGCTATTTGAGTCGGAGTTATTACGTTCTTCATGCCTTCTTTTCTTATGTAAAAGGACTAAAGTATATATACATACATACTAAGATTAAAGACAAAAAATGGAAAAAGGTCAAATTAATTAAATTTGCAAGGATTTAAGTAAAAACCATATGCCGGCCTTTTTCTTCGGTGTTTGGTAATGCCGTATGCATTACTTCTTTGACACAAACCAGACGCAATCGAAGATTTGAAGAAACGGGCAAATAAATTGGAACACGATTAGGGCGACTGACTTCTAAGCATCATATACAGTTAATTACTAATATGTTTACATGACGTCTCAAGTGGGTATTGTAAACTATAATAAAACCAACAGCGTGACTTCAAATCAATTGTCTCCTCCTTATAAGTTTATTATTAATGCTATATTTTCTTTTTCAGTTCGTTGCCTATATTGAATTAATTAAATAGGTGTGTGTATTTGTTTTCTTAATGTGATTGTTTTTGTCGGTTCTAGAATAGAGAGTAACTACGTCGACGCATAATGAATTAGAGGAGTCAACACTCAACAGCCAGTAGCCACCACCTACCTAACAATAATCACTTTAATTGTTCCAGCTCAATCGTGTTTCATGCATCCTATGCCCACAAAGATTGGTATTTAGTATATTTATTTATTTTTCAGAAATCATAGTAAAGACCAAGTGAGTTTTAAATATACATTACATCAATGCGACATACTCGTAAACTATTTTGATTGCACAATAATTTTTATCCTATTTCAGAAATCATTGCACAATTTAATGATTAATGATATTTTTTTCTGTCCAATAACTAACTAACGTAATCAATAATTTTCAGCTATGGATTTACAACTTTATCAATTAACAAAAAAAAAACTTTATGAATTAACAAAACTCTCTTAGAACAACAAGAACTCTAGAATAAACGGCCGAAGTTTGATAATTATAAAATATAATTTATTTAAATTTTATGTTAGAGTCTAACAAGAAAATTTGAAAAATATTGTTTATTGAGAAAAAGTGAGCGTTTTATTGTATAATTGTTTTTCAATATGTGGATTCATCATTCAAAACACGCTAAGACCAAAAAAATGTCAGTTGATTGATTGTATGGTTTAAAAAACGGTATTGTGTTTATAAACTAGGTATTGATGTGAATAGAATGTGCACGAGATGTTCATAAATTCATGTAGCTAAGAGTTATTAAGTTTGATAGTTATTTTAATTATAAGATATAAACCTATTGAGTTTCCAACATCTTGCCGAGAGAGACTAGTGGTTTCACTTGCAGTCGAACTGTTTGCAATAAATATTCGCCAATGAACGCCGACAACTGCAGTAACGCCAGAAGAGTCTTCAAAGTAGTTTGACTGAATTCAAGACTGTTTAACTCGATGTGATAAAATGAATGATCACTGTCTCTATAATCATATACTTCATTGATTGGAAAAATATATGATTTTTTTATATAATTGAATTTTGATAATATTAATAAAATAATAGAATGTCTGATTAAAAAATACGAAATAACATACATAATTTATTATTTTCTAATAATTTTTGATAATATAAATTAAATCATTTGAGAAATAGATTCACATGTATAAATTTTATTTAAGAAATGACAAATAACTTAGACCAACTCCATGGCACAACAAATTATAACCCACATATTGAAATGGATATATAAAATTTATTTCCGTAATATTCTGCGTATCTTAAGTGGTCTAGTGGTAGTAAGGAGTAGTGTGTGATTTTGTTATCCGAGTTCGAACCTGCCCAATTACAATATTTTTTAAAAAATATTTTTTCTCTAAGCGCTGGAACCTGCCCAAGGCCTTATAGCTGGCTAATGTTCGCGACTTATAGGCCCATTAGTTTGGCGAAGAACAAAAAGATAGGCCCATTAAATAATATAAAAGCCTGTGAACACAGAATTACAAAGTCAGGTAGAGCGAGAGGGTAAAGATGCAACGTAAGTGGCACATCAGACGCATATCCATTAGACGACCAACCATGATAAAGTCTGCCACGTCACCGTTCATCGTTGATTAGTTTTTTTTTTTTTTTTAAATCTAAATGACCACAAGCCCCTCGCTATTTCGTTTTTTTTCTCTACAAGTCTACAAACACGACCAGTGTAGTTGCTGAGTCACACACTTGCTTGTATTCTTTCACTCGGAAAAATTCGAAATCGAGATCAATGTCGATGATGACGGTGTGGGCGCTCCGGCGGAATGTTCGCCGGAAAAGTTCCTCAATGCTCGTGAGATATAACTCCGGCTCCGCGTCTTTCGGAGGAGCTTCGATTAAGCCTAAGGAGCGGTGTATCGAGAAGATTTTGGTGGCGAACAGAGGCGAGATTGCTTGCCGGATCATGAGGACGGCGAAGCGTTTAGGGATTCAGACCGTTGCTGTTTACAGTGACGCTGATAAAGATTCGCTCCATGTGAAGTCTGCCGACGAAGCGGTACGGATTGGTCCGCCCTCGGCTCGGCTCAGTTACCTCAGTGGTGCGACTATCATGGAGGCAGCGGCTCGGACTGGTGCGCAGGTGTGATTTTGGTTTTTCTATTGTTTAGTTCCTTGGTGGAACCAATTTTCTGGGACTTGGAACTTGGGAGCCGTGGTGGTGATAGAATAGTTAGGGGATTAGGATCAACACAAGTGAGCAAAAAATGGATGAGATATTCTTATTTGGTACTCTGTATTGTGTTGAATTAAATGTCTCTTGCTTATAACTGAAACAGATTTTCATGAAAAGTGGGTGCTCTTTTGCTATATAGGTTAATCGTTTTCCTGTATAGCTGATGTCTTCTTTGAATTATATAACTAGGCGATACACCCTGGATATGGGTTCTTATCAGAAAGTTCCGACTTTGCTCAACTCTGTCAAGACTCTGGTTTATCATTCATTGGACCTCCAGCATCTGCTATTAGAGACATGGGTGATAAAAGGTACCATCACAGGCTTCCTATTACTCCATGCTTCTTTTCACAAGCTACTCTTTCTCTGCGAATAACTTGTGACGGTGTGTCCTTCATGGGTATTCAGTGCATCTAAGAGAATAATGGGGGCTGCTGGAGTTCCTCTCGTGCCTGGATATCATGGCCATGAGCAAGATATTGATCATATGAAGTCAGAAGCCGAAAAGATTGGATACCCTATAATAATCAAGCCAACACATGGAGGTGGGGGGAAGGTATGCTATGACTTAAGACCTCTTGTCCAGTTGATGGCTTGTTGTAATAGTCAAAATCGCTAAATGTATTTCCATTTAATTTGATCTAAGCTTTAATACTGGCTCTGGTAACATGGTTTATTTCTCTTTTTTGGTGTATTTCGGAAATACAGATTAATAAGTTTAATACCTTTTTTAACATTTATTTGTTTTAGGGAATGAGGATAGTGCAAAGTGAGAAGGATTTTGCTGACTCGTTTTTAGGGGCTCAACGTGAAGCTGCTGCTTCTTTTGGCGTTAACACTATTCTTCTTGAGAAATACATCACTCGACCAAGGCATATAGAAGTCCAGGTAGTGGGTCGAGTAATTCCACATTCTGTTTCTATTATGAAAGCCATGATATCCAGGCAAATTAGATCAATAAAAGTTATAAATCTCTTTCTTTTATGGCGCATTGAAACCCAATTATTGTGCATAGAAGGAAGACATATCTAATAACTTTGGTTTAAACCATTACCTTCTATTTCTACTGCCATGTCCTGTTTAATTATATGCATCAAGTCATATTCTGCTGACGTATACATATTCATTGAGTTACTGTTTCTGGCGCTCTTTCTCTATTTATAGCATTTTTGTTAATTTTAATCAGTGTTCCACTGCTTTTAGATATTTGGTGACAAACATGGAAATGTTCTTCATCTATACGAAAGGGATTGCAGTGTGCAAAGAAGACACCAGAAGATTATCGAAGAAGCCCCTGCGGTAATGGCTGTAATTATTTTTTAATGTCTTTTCTAGCATAAACTGATGTGGGTCTGATTGTCACTCTGCTGGTGCAGCCTAATATATCTGAAAAGTTCCGCACAAACTTAGGCCAAGCTGCTGTCTCTGCGGCACGGGTATCCCTTTAAATCCTGCTTTCAACTTTACAGATTTAATGGTTTTTAGCAAGAAACCTTGGTCAAAAGTGTTTCAATACCGTGTTCTGTATATCACATTCATTCATAGTAGACTGTATGTCCCATGTGTCTCTATTTTCTCTATTTTATGTTGTGCATTACTAATATTTGATCATGAGTTATTTGATCGAAGTTTACCATTGTTAATTTGAGTGCATT